CCGATCTTCGCAGAGCATCCCTGAATTGTATATTCCACACTAATAATGCGACCAATTAAAATTCACTCCCTCATATCTGCCGTTCTCCCAAAATAACCTTCTTGGTTACAGCATTTTTTTAAAGTATTGAAATAGGGCGTCTATATTGGAGTGCAGCAGACAGGAGGCAGCGTTTGTTAACTAGCAACATTAATAGCGCGGCTATATACATATCATTGCAGGTGTTTTGATGCTTTTGCGAATTTTGCAATTCCTGAAATAAGGGTGAAGTCAAAACGAGTATTAGTCTATAGAAGAATAGTTGGCCTCAGTTTTTCCCCAAAACAAAATTTTTGCAGTTTTTTTAACTTAAGGTTTTGTTCGATATGCTGGCGGAAAGTGCGCAACTTTGCATTAGGTGTTGTCTCGTCTAGAGATACGGTAGGATTACGATAGGTGTGATGCCGAAACTATAGGAACCTAAACGACCCGATACTTGCTATCTGTTGTAAGGGATTTTGGCGTACCACTATACTAAGAATTTGACAAGCTTGCTTTGTTGGGTTATATGCCCAATATAAGAATTAAAACGTGATAATATACCTCTTGCAAGCATCCGATCACAATTCGCTTCCACCATTCAAATTCTCCAAACGTGCTGAATCCAAAACATGGGTGGCTGCTGCAGAGATTCTTCCAATATTTCGGGTATGATGCAGCGACAGCAGCTGGATTCACTTTGATTCCGTGATCGCTGGCAACACGAGCGTAGACCTCATCGACTGGTTCACCATCGGCAATTAAAGTGTCATTTACATCAAATGACACAACTTGTACTGTACGTGCCGATGTGCTGGAGAATGGGCTAGTGCATGCTTTGTGAAGCGGACGAATAATTGGTGACAATCGCTTTAGGCTCGACATCTGAAAATGAAATATATGAAGGGTTGTGAAGGGGTGTAGTATCCTTAAAACGCATGATTCGAACGCAGCCACCAACAACACATGATGAAAACAAGAGCATAGTCTCATATCTACTACATATGGAGTAACCTGTAAAGGGTGGCAGTCCATTACAGATGTTTTTACAACAAGGAGAATGAAGCAAAATGAAAAGACATTCATTATTTATAACCATATCTAAAAAGCTCCGCCCCACCTGAGAGTGGTTGAGCGCAGAAAAAATGCATTGTTATGATTCCCACAAAAACTCTGGTAAACAGAAAGTTCATAACTGTTAAGAGAGCTCATCTCCAATAGTAAACACTTTCCAAGTGAGAAATAATCTCCATGACTTATTAATATCACATCTCAAGCTCAGATTCCTTCCTACAAAAGGTACATAAAGAACGTGCACTATACCCTTTGAGTTGAGATAAGATAAGAGTCATACGGAAAGTGCACGTATGAAAACAAAAGGGGTTTCCCCAGTGTTGGTACGACAACGTGATTCTATGGGATAATTCACTTTAGAAGTTACAAAAGCTCTCCAAGCAGAGTGGAAATTCGTGCATTTGCACAACTTTCGCTTGCAATGTCATGTCAAATGTGAAACAAGCCTGTTGACAGATTTTCTACCAGGAACCAGCCAAGTTAATAGACGAACAGAGATGAAAGTACTCTTATAATATTACAGAGTGAAGCTGCATTCAAGGAAATTGACTCTAGTCTCATCTACAATTTATCTCAATTCAAATATTGCAAGGGAAGAAAAGAGACTTGTCTATC